GCAGCTGCAACTGGAGTCATCACCTGGTTAAGTTTTCGATAATCCACTGTCATTCTCCAAGATCCACCTGTTTTTTTGTACAGGCCAAATAGGTCAGTTGAATAGGGATGTGGTGGGAATCACCACCCTTGTATCCTTCAAGTTCTTGATGGTGGTAGTAATCTCTGCAATCCCTCCAGGAATGTGGTATTGCTGTTGGTTTACTATTTTTCTAGGTAGGGGCAGTTCTAATGGCTTCCATTTGGCTTTTCCTACCATAATAGTACCTACTTCATTTGTCAGGGGTCCAGTGTGGGGGTTCTGCCAGTTGCTGAGTATATCTATTACAATTATGCATTCTATAACTGGAGGAATCACTACAGGATGGATTCGTGGACCCACTGGACCTACTGTGAGACGGACATGAGCCAAGACTCCATTAATAACCTGACTTCCATATGCCCCCACTCTGACTAGTGGGCCACAATGACATTTTGGGTCTCCTGGAATTAGTGCCAGTTCAGAGTTAGTATCCAGTAAACCCCAAAATTCTGATTATTTCCTTTTCTCCAATGAACAGTCACTCTCGTAAAAGGCCATAGATCCTTCTGGGAAAGGCTAGGAGAAAGAGTAACAGTATAAATTTTTGGCAGTATATTGGAGTCCTTCCTCAAGGGAACTGACCTCCCCTTCATTCAATGGATTGTGGGTCTTTAAACTCGCTCAAGTCTCGGAATTGATTGAGGGACCGTGATTCTCTATTCTGGAGATTCAAGTTAGACTGCTGTTCACCTGACCTAAATTTCATCCATTTGTACAGATCAAGTAAATATTTAGTAGATTTCCTACCTATTTCACTTCTAGGGATAATATGACTAAGTAGTCAATTCCATATGAGTCAGACTATCCTGATTATTACTGCTTTGACTCTGCTGTCCATTACTGTAACCATGCCCACCTTTTCTTTGTCAACTGAGTGCAGCCACTTGGCCTCTACTACCACAAGGTCTAATCAGCCACATTGTGGTTAGGTGTCTTAATTCAGGTAGGGCAGGTTCCACTATCAAATCTGATTTACATAAAATAGCAATCACAGCAGTCTTCAAGGATGCTGGCACTCCCTTCACAAATTTGTTCCTTACAGTTGTGGTAAAACGTGTGTCCTATGGGCACTCCATGTGTGGAGGGTTTAACCTGATAAATCCACTCTAGCATGCCAATTTCTCTAAGACTTTAGATACCTTCTTCTACAGTATACTAAAGCAGGTCTGGTACTTCAGCTTGATTTAGTGTACACCACCGCATAATCCATGCTTCAGCAACCCAACCAAATAAATTATTAGATCCTTTCCTAACTTCTCCAGCTGAAACATTGAATGAAGACTCTGTGCTTAGTGGGATCCATATCAATAAACTCAGACTGATCCATCTTTATGTTTTTGCACCATTATCCCACACCTTTCATAGTCATTCCCACACATACTCCCCACACCCCGGATTTCTGATTGTACATATTAGAAAAGTCAAGCAGTTCATTTGGAGTGTAGCATACCTCCTCCTGGGTCACATTTTGTACTTCATCTTTTGGGGCTCGCTGGAACTTAAGTCTAGTTATAGGTCTAGAAGCCAAAATCACTAGCGTGAAATTGTTTTGAGAACGTTCAGCATTGTCTTGTAAAACATGTCCCCCAGGCAATGACTCAGGCAAGGGCTCTTTAGAGCCAGCTGGGCTAGGGCTAATCTCATAAAATGGGAGTAGTGGAGGGGCTGATGGTTTTCCTGGGCAGGGTGGTGTAGCAGACAAACATGAAGTAATCTCTTCAGATGGGAGTGCTTCTGATGGCAGGAGTGATTCAAGGAAATTTAGGGGCTCAGTGTCTCCAGCTTCCTGATTATCTGCCCATATGTCTCCATCCCAAGTTTCAGGATCACATTTTATTCCAATCAATGCCCTTACTCTAACTGCAGATGCCTCTCAAGGTTGGCAATTGAGCGGGCATTGTAATTTAGCCAATTATAGCAAGACTCTGGGTTTGGTTTTTGGCAATATCAGCTCTGTTACTACAAGAAATAAGGCTTTCTTTCAAAGCACAAGTGGAAAATTTGAGGTCATTTATGTGGCACTTGAGCTTTGGCTCTGAAGCCCTGAGTGCATCTCTTTCTTTCACCAGTTTGTCTAGTGAAAGTAGTACCAACCAACCAGCTTCCCTATACTTCTCATTCTGACAAAACTGTAGAAAGATATCACATGTGTTCACCCAGAGCTTTGTCTTTCACCAATACCTCCTATATTGATGGTGATATTTTGTGTATTTGTATCACTACCTCATGCCATGGGTTAGCAGTGCCCTCTTTATTGCTGGAAGCAAAGTCATCAACACCTTTAAGACTAACCAGACTTGCAAACCAGTTTAGAAAACTCATCCTTACAATTTTGTTTCTCTAGAGCCTCTCTCAGTACCAAATGTCTTAGGTTGGGTTCTCTAGAGAAGCAAAACCAGTAAAGCATACAAATACATATATATAGAGAGATTTATATCAAGGAAATGGCTCACATGGTTGTAGAGTCCGGAACATTCCAAGTTTGTGGATAAGGATAGAGGCTTCTCCTGATTCACGTAGCTGCAGGGGCTGGTGAACTCAAGATTGGCAAGTCGGAGATCAGGGCTGTCACTCACAAGCTCTGAAGATCAACAAATCCCAAGTTTGGCAGATAAGCTGCTAGTTCAAGTCCCAAGAACCAGAAGTCTGACAAATAAGAGCCAGCTGCAGAATCCAGAGCCAGCAAAAAGCCAGAACGTCTGCTTATATTCAGATGCAGGCCACACGCTCAAGGAAATTCCCTTTCACCTGATTGACTACTCACAGTAGATCACATTATGGGAGTGATCACATATAAACACTGAGAATCATGGCCCAACCAAGTTTACATGCAATCTTAACCACTACAGCAAGCAAAGTTGTGTCATCTGCATATTGCAGGTTGTTATTGAGTCTTTCTCCAATTTTGATGCTGTGTTCCTCTTCATACAGTCCAGCTTCTCGAATTATTTGCTCAGCATACAGATTGAACAAGTATGGTGAAAGGATACATCCCTGATGCACACCTTTTCTGATTTTTAAACCACGCAGTATCCCTTGTTCTGTTTGAATGACTGCCTCTTGGTCTTTGTACAGGTTCCTCATGAGCACAATTAAGTGTTCTGGAATTCCCATCCTTCCCAATGTTATCCATAATTTCTTATGATTTACACAGTTGAATGACTTTGCATAGTCAATAAAACACAGGTAAACATCTTTATGGTATTTTCTGCTTTCAGCCAACATCCATCTGATAGCAGCAGTGATATCCCTTGTTCCATGTCCTCTTCTGAACCCAGCTTGAATTTTTGGCAGTTCACTGTTGATGTACTGCTGCAACCATTTTTGAATGATCTTCAGCAAAATTTAACTTGCGTGTGATATTAATGATATTATTTGATAATTTCAGCATTCTGTTGAACCACCTTTCTTAGGAATGGGCACAAATATGGATCTCTTCCATTTGGCTGGCCAGGTAATTGTCTTCCAAATTTCTTGGCATAAGTGATTGAGCACTTTCAGCCCTGTGTCCATGGGTTGAAACATCTCAACTGGCATTCCATCAATTCCTGGAGCCTTATTTTTTGCCAATGCCTTCAGTGCAGCTTAGATTTCTTCCTTCAGTACCATCAGTTCTTCATCATATACTACCTCCTGAAATGGCTGAATGTCGACCAATTCTCAAGGACGTATTTTGGCTCTCAGGGACTCGCTCTAATTTTCTTCAACTTCATCTTCAACTTGTAGCTGAGCAATTGATGTTCAGTTCCACAGTCAGCTCCTGGTCTTGTTCTGACTGATAATATTAAGCTTCTCATAGTGTCTTTCCACAGATGTAGTCAATTTTGATTCCTGTGTATTGCATCTGGTGAGGTCCATGTAAGTAGTCACCATTTACGTTATGGAAAAAATGTATTTGCAATGCACAAGTCGTTGGTCTTCCAAAATTCCATCATGAGATATCCATCTTGTTTCTACCACCAAGGCCATATTTTCCAACTACTGATCCTTCTTTGTTTCCCACTTTCACATTCCAATCACCAGTAATTATCAATGCATCTTGATAGCACGTTTGATCAATTTCAGACTACAGAAATTGGTGAAAAGCTTCAATTTCTTCATCTTTGGTCTTTGTGGTTGGTGCATAAATTTGAATAATAGTCATATTAACTAGTCTTCCTTGTAGGCATATGGATATTATCCTATCACTGACAGAGTTGTACTTCAAGACAGATCTTGAAATATTCCGTTTGATTATGAATGCTACACCATTTCTCTTCAATTTTTCATTCCAGGCATAGTAAACCAGATAATTGTCCGACTCAAAATGGTCAATACCAGTCCATTTCAGCTCACTAATGCCTAGGATATTGATCTTTATGCATTCCAAATTCAGGGTGCCAGCTCTAGGGGGAGGCTTTCTCTGTTGGCTCTAGGGGAACATCCTTTTCTCTTTTTAGCTTCTGTTCCTTGGCTTCTTGTTGATCTTCATGTGACACCGCATCTATCTTTCCCCATCTCTGCTTGCTTCTCTGGGCCTAATCTGCTCTTTTTATATCTCAGACGTGATTGGCTTAAAACAAACTCTACACTGATACAGACTCTTACTACAACAAAGAAAACCCATTCCCAAATGAGATTATAACCACAGGTATAGGGGTTGAAATTTATAACATATATTTTTGGGGGACATAATTCAATCCATAACAGTAGGGATGCTTTTCTAATAATTCAATAACTTTACTTGTCATAGATCTGTTCAGACTTCCTATTTCTTTTTGAGTAATTCTAGGTAGTTATACAGTTTTATAATTCCTCTGGGAAAGAAATAGCAGGTCAGTTTTCAACCTTTGAAGATATCTTCACTTCTTAACATTGAAACATTTTTGCTTAACTTGTAACATTTTGTGAAATGCATATCCATTTATTTATTAGTTTACCTCAAATTTTTTTAAATAACATTCCTTCAGAGCTTCAAGTTCCTGGTTCCGCTTTGAGTCCAGTAGAGGGGCATGCTTACTCATGTAGTCTACGTCTGCTTGAACCTTTGCATTAGCTTCTTCTAACTTTGCCTTTTGTTCTTCAAAACGTTTTAGTTGATGTACTTTATCTGTAAGATGCCATCGCAATTCTATAATATCTCTCATATAGGTCTCATGTTCTAGAAATAGAATAATAAGAACAAAAGAATATCAGATTTTAAAGCATAAACATCCAGAAGGAAATCTGTATTTGATAATAACTAATTATGAAATATTTTAGTTTCATAAATAACTTACCTGTGAGTCTTACTAAATCTAAAATAAGTTACTTTAATATTCCTTTGTAAAATATGTTGTTTTCTTGATACATCATGAAAAAGATTAAAATACGTTTTAGAAGTTAATATTTTTTTTAGTATAAATCCTGTTTATTACAATCAATGTATACATAACTATGCTATGTCTACTCATTACCTTCAGGTCCATTCCGACTCATGGTGACTGTCTTAGTCATCTAGTGCTGCCATAACAGAAATACCACAAGTGGATGGCTTAAACAAGGATAAATTTATTCTCTCACAGCCTAGTAGACTACAAGTTCAAATCCACGGTATCAGCTCTAGGGGAAGGCTTTCTCTCTCTGTCTGCTCTGGGGGAAGGTCCGTGTCATCAATCTTTCCCTTGTCTACAAGCTTTTCCATGCAGGAATCCCGGGTCCAAAGGACACAGTCTGCAAGCGGTGCTGCTTTCTTGGTAGTATGAGGTCTCCCTGTCTCTCTGCTCACTTCTCTCTTTTGCATCTCAAAAGAGATTAATCTTGTAGATTGAGTTTGCATAACTGTCACTAATCCCATCTCATCAACATCATAGAGATAGGATTTACAACACATAGGGAAATCACATCAGGTGACAAAATGGTGGACAATGACTGGGAACGATGGCCTAGCCAAGTTGACACACATTTTGGGGGGACATAATTCAATCCATGACAGTGACCCCATGTGTTACAGAATAAAACTGCTACATAGAGTTTTCTTGGCTGTAATCTTTACAGAAGTAGATCACCATGCTTTTCCTCTGTGGTGCCACTGGGTGGGTATGAACCACCAACCATTAGGTTAGTAGTTGAGCTCAAACCATTTATGCCACCCTGGGGCTTTGGGCTGTGTATGTCCACTCTATTCTATATAACTGCTCTGAAGTGAGAAGAATTGCAAGAGTAGAGGCCTTCCAAAACCACTCAGAAGTAAAAAGATGAAATATGAGTTACGAATATCAGAATGGAAAAGACAAAAATGATTATAATTTTCTAAAGAAATAGTTTTATGTCAAAACACACAAAAGAATCAACTGAAAAATATTACAAATGATAAGGTAGCTCATGCTAAATTAATAAACAAAATAAACATTTTTCTATATAAATAAGGAATATGCTAAAAACAGAATAATCTCATTCACAAAAGCCAAACTAAAACATAAAATAAATGCATAAATCTAGTAATAAACCTAACATAAACATGCAAGGCCTATAGGAAGAAAATGAAAAAATGCTATCAAATGACACAAAGTGGATTTAGTAAATGTATAAAAATGTTTTCTTCTGTATGAAAATATTTGAAATTTTAAACATGGAAAAAAAACTCTCAATTAATTTATAAATTTAATTAAATCCCAATCAATGGACCAGTATAATTTTAGAGAGATAAATATATTTTCTCATTACATTAATTAAGTTTTTACTCTTAAACCAACCTTGCATTCTAGAAATAAAACTTGGTTGGCTGTGGCTATCATCTTTAAAAATTTCTTGATGTGATTTTTCTAATATTTTCACTTAGGAATTTTTTGTATTTATATTCACAACTTAGGGCTGTAATTTTCCATTTTTTGGGTACTGTCCTTGTCTAACTTTGGCTTATAGATTATAGTAGCTTCATATATCAGTTAGAGATTCTTTGCATTTTTTTCCTCTGGAAATTTGGGAAAGTTTAAAATTGCAAGTAAAGCCCTATTGCCCTAATATGTATTTAATCATTTGATTGGGTGGGGCGGGGGAAGAATTTTAGTTATTGAGTCAAAATCTTTCCTTTAAAGACTATATGAATATTTTATTCAATTTATTTTGTTTCTATGAATTTATCCACTTCATCAATGTTTTAATAACATTGTAAGAAACTTGTTCTTAATATCTTCATTATTATTAATCACTGCTGTATCTCTGTTTGGAACCCTGGTGGTGCAGTGGTTAAACTTTGGCTGCTAACCAAAAGGTTGGCAGTTCAAAACCACCAGCCGCTCTTTGGAAACCCTATGAGGCAGTTCTACTCTGCCCTATAGGGTCGCTATATGTCAGAATCGACTCCACAGCAATGGGTTTGGATTTTTTGATTTTTTTGTATCTCTATTTATATCCCATTGTCGTTCCTAATCTGGTTTATTTACACATTCTGTGTTGTTGTTGTTGTTGTTTTTTAATCTTGCCATTGGCTTTTAATTATTCTCTTTTTAATGGGCCAACATTTAGTTTTGCATCTCTCCCAAATTATATATTTCTTCATTATTTTATCACATTGCTATTGTTTTTCTCCTTTTTTCTTTCTATTCATTTTCCTTTTATTTTTCTAAATTCTAAAGTCATATATTTAGATAATTAATTATGAGTCTTTTTTGATGTAACAAATCTACTGCTTTCTCTTTAAGTAATAGTGCAGCTTTTCCTCACGTGTGGAGATAATTTTAATGATAATTTTTAAGTGAAACATTTCTAAATATTTTCTAATTTCTTAAATATGTATGATGTTTAGCACCATCACTTTATTGCTTTTTGTCTTCACTAATTAAACAGTGACCAACCCCCACAAGAAAACCAAAATCGTTGCTGCCAAGTCCATTTCGACTCATGGCAACTCTATAGGACAGAGTAGAACTGCCCCATAGCGTTTCCAAGCAGCGCCTAGTGGATTCCTTTTGGTTAGCAGCTGAACTCTTAACCACTATGCCACCAGGGTTTCTTAGACAGCAACATTTTTGTTTTAAACAGTCAGCCATTATCTTGTTAAACATCACTATTGTTTGCTCCATCAGCATCTTCTATTAGATGTGCATTATACCTTCTCATTCTATACTCCAAGATTTTAAATCTTTTATTCATATTTTCCTTCTTTTTGTGTTGCTGGGATGCATTACATGTAATTTCTTTAAATTTTAAGTTAATTTTTTTTTTCTCTACTGAGTCTAAGAAACCATTTAACCAACATTGAGTTGTTCATTTCAAGTATTATATCATTTCTAGTAGGTATTCTTTTTTTTTTTTTTTTTGCCATTTTCAATTTTGCTTTATTTAAAAAAATAACTTATTAGTCCTTGCTTTTATTTCTAAATCTCTTTTTATTTCCTGAAACATATAAAAATATACACTTTATAATCTCAGTATAATTTAATACCTGAAAACTTTAGGAAGATTCTGTTGTCTGTTTCTACTGATCTCACTCATTATAACTGGATCTTTGTGTGTTTTAATAGATTTGATACTAAATAATTCTTTTCCTTGGAATTTTATACAAGGAAATTCCTTAGTGCCTACATTAAAGTTTTGGTCTTCTAGGGAAAATTTTCCTCTGCTCTAGCCAGATGTCTACCTTTACATACCATCAACCCATGAACCATTTAAATGACATTCTCCACCTCACAATTTCAGACCACACGTGCAACAGGAATTTGAGTCACAGATCCTTTTTATATGAGTTCATTAAGAATGCTCAGAGAACATTGTTTGTAGTTGTTGTTACTGTTGTTGTATGCTTGTTTGTTTTTCCCTCCACTGACAAAGTGAAGCAAGAAAGTTTCTTCATTGTTCAATCTGAGGGACTGATTTATGTATCACTCACTCTTATAGTGAAGGTGGATTCTCAGCTTTATGTCATGGGTCTTTAATTTGACTTGTTTTTTTTTGGTGACTCTTAGTTTTTATCTCTAGTCTCCTATACCCAAGAGATATATTAAATGGGGACCCAAGGACATCAAGATTTGGGGAATTGACTCGAGGTTAAATCTGACATTGATGTCTACTTAGCTCCCAAAATTACCATTTCAAAACTGAAATGTTGACCTCTTTGCATTTGCTACTTCCTTGATAGTTTATCAGGGTATTTAAAAATTTTTTTAAATGAAAATATATTATCAAAAGCCGACACAGTTGAAAAAAAAACTTTGATATATTTGATTTCTTACTTAAAATGATAGTTGGAGATGTCAATATTCCTCTTTCAACAATTCAAAGAACAAATAGAAAATCATTAAGGATATATAGAGGACTTGAAAAGCACTACCAGCCAACTTGACCTAACTAATATTTATGGAACACTCCACCCAAAGCAGAATACTTATGATTTTCAACCACACACAAAACATTCTCCAGGATAAAAGATATGCTAAGCAATTTTAAAAGTCTAAATAATTTTAATATAATTGAAACCATTCAAAGACTACATTCATAGCACAAATATAGAATTAGAAATTAACAACAGAAATATGTGAAAATCCCAAAATATTTGTGAATTAAACAGTTTCTTCTAAATAAACAACAGGTCTGTCATGGATTGTATTATGTTCCCTCAAAAATGAGCATATCAGTTTGTCTGGGTTATAATTCCCAGTATTGTTATGATTGTGTATAATTTTGTAATCTGGTGTGATTTCCTTATGTGTCATAGACTCTATCACTATGATGTAATAAAATGGATTAGCAGCAGTTATGTTGATGAGATCTACAGGACTGGACGGTGTCTTGAGCCAGTCTCTTTTGGGATATGGAAGAGACAAGAGAGCAAAGACACACGGGAACCAAGAAAGCAGTACCGAGAGCACAGCACATCCTTTGGACCTGATGTTCCTGTGCTGAGATGCTCCCAGACCAAGGGAAGACTGATGCATCGCAAGGACCTTCCTCCAGAGCCGACAGAGAGAAGAAGCCTTCGCTTGGAGCTGATGCCTTGAATTTGGACTTGTTGCTCACTAGACTGTGAGAGAATAAATTTCTCTTTGTTAAAAACCATCCACCTGTGGTATTTCTGTTATAGCAGAACTAGATAACCAAGACAAGGTCCAACAAGAAATCACAAGGGAAACTAGAGAATATTTTGAACTAAATAAAAATGAACTCACAACATATGAAAGTTTA